TCCCAGAATCCTGTTCACTCAGATCTCTGATGGTCACAGTGAAAACTGCTGCTCTTGTGTCGTCATACAAAGAGAATCTTCCAGAATCAACCCATTTTTCACCATTTTCTTTATCCGTCTTGATTTGGTCTGTGCACTCTGACCACTGTCCTCTACAAAAATACTTAGCATTCACTGTATATCCTCTATCATATCTGCATGTGATGCTGACTCCTCCTCCTGAATATCCTGTCACACTGATGGAGCTCACCACACCTACAACAAACCAGCATTAAAACACTTTAATATATTTATGAGGCTACACATAAATGAGCTTTCTTCAACTTTTCAACATCAACATGAGCTGAAGTGAAAGAGTTCAGTTTCTCACCAGGAATCATCAGCAGAGTGAAAGTCCAGATGATCTTCATTCTTCTCTCTTATTCAGTGATCTTCTCTGTTGTTAGTAGATTCAGTTCTTCTGAAGCTCTCGATGTGTGTTCAGATGAGTTCTGAGTGTTTCTTTCCTGGTTACACGTTTAACATGAACTGATGAATGTGACAGAGACGCCCACTTCCTCTATATATCTGCCACAGATAGAGAGGGAGAGAGAATAATGAAGTAGGAAGTGAAAATAAAATCAGATTGAAACGAAAGTGAAACAAATAAAGGAGAAATGAAAGTGTTGAGGATTGAGAGTCCAGCGGCTCCCTCTAGTGTTCAGATGATCAGCACCACGGACAGCAACACACACACACACACACACAATCACAGTCAGTCCAGAAGATGGCATTACACCTCATAAAACATAATGCAGAATAACTGACCTTCAGGAACTGTGTAACTGAAACATAAATCAAATCATAATGCAGTTGATATGTACAGACCTGAGCTGCTGCTGACTTTGTAAGAACAAGAACATTAGTTACTGATGTGATTTGATGTCAAAATAATAACACGGTATTGTTATAAAGAACAATCATCTTTTATTTTGTTCACAGTTATATACAACGATACACACATAAAACACATTATTGCACATATAATTTTAAGCAAAATGAGAAAACATTACATAAATCCTTTCAGCAGGTGCAATGGTGGTGTTTACTGAGCAAATAACCAACTGAAACAGTCGATCACTAACATGTATGTACTGTAATCACTGGCTCATAACTGCATGCAACGATAGACATTAATGTGAAGACAGATAATTGTTGAAGGAACATCATCAGGACCGTCTGTGTCTTTCAGACCCTCAGTAGATGATGATGATGATGATGGAGCAACTAATCAGAGGGGTTTGTGGGTAATCCTGGAGTAGCATAGACTGTTTTAGTAGAATCAGAGGGGTTTGTGGGTAATCCTGGAGTAGCATAGACCGTTTTAGTAGAATCAGAGGGGGTTGTGGGTAATTGGGCCGTAGCATAGACTGTTTTAGTTCCTGTATCTGGATCAGTGTGAGGTCTGGTGTCTGCAATTTCCTCATAAATGAAGCCGGTTTGAGGAACCTTTGAAGAGAATGAGAAATTATTCACAGCTCTCGAGGTTCCCAGACATCACAGCAGGATTATGGTCATATTCATACAAACACATTATTATCAAACACGCTGATTTTACAAACCGCTTCACTGTTTCCTGTTCCGGGTTTGGGCATTTTAGAGGCTGAATTAGGGCCTGCAAAACAAATATTATACTACATTAAATATAATAATCTTTCACATTCATGCTCAACATTTTAGATGTTTAAAATTTATTTTGTAATTTTATTTGTTTTACTTTGTTTGGGAGAAACTTTCCATCCACTTTCTATTCATCAGATGGCATTTTATTTCACATACATTTACAAAAAACAAAAAAAAATAAATAATCAAAGAAGACTTCACTGTTTGGGTTTCATGACAAAATACCACATGGAATAAATATATGAAATATAACATTTTCACTTCACCAATAGACTTTAAAGCAAACACATAAATAATTATTTTGTAATTACACCGCACATCACTTCACAGTGCATTTGTGAGCACTTTATTTTACAGTAATATTCCTCATGTACATACTATGTACTTATTGTAGTAATTACAATAACTGGGTAATAGTAACTTGGCACTAACCCTGAATCTAGCCTTAACCCATGCAGTTACTGTATATTACTGAGTATGTTCTTGGCTAAGTACATTGTAAGTATACATAGATTGTAAAATAAAGATCAACTGTGCATTGTCTTGTTTTGACTAGCAGGGGGGAAATAACATCTTTTCATTTACTCATTATTTCTCAGACAACCATGCAATTTACTTGCACCATTCTGATAGATAAATTAATATGACAAAACTGTAAAACGGTAACAAATGACATGCAAAGAAAGCTATCGAACTAGTTCAACACAAAAAAAGGAAAGAGTTTGATCTTGAGTCTTACGCCTCATGCAGTAAATCACTGTGAATGATACGAGTCCAATGATGATCAGAACGGCAGCCACAGACAGACCGATGGTCAGAGACGAACCTGAGAAAACACCAGATCAAAACATCAGTGCAACTCAGTGACAGTGTCCAGATTACAACGCCTGGAGGGGAATTTTCAAAAATCAGTCAATCGTTCCTCCTCACAATTCTGGCCATAATAGATGTTAAAGGTCATGTGACTTCAGAATGCTGGTAATTTAGAGAAATATGTGAACTGATTGACAAGTAGGAGTAGTGTAGGTTATAATATCAGCAACTGAGGCGCATGGCAAGAACTGCGTTACAAGAAATAGTGACAGTTGCATAATAGAGTTGCATAAATACAATACAATAAAATACAAAAATACAAATACAGCAATTAAGATTATGCAAGAAGTTTTACATTTACATCTGATAACAATTTCTAAAACATTTTCTGGTAAATCTTACAAAGCAAGTCCTAAACTGAGCTTACTGAATACAAATGTTGTCTAATAAAATGTTTCTGATTGATGATGATGATGATGATGATGGTTGTGAAGAAGATGGTTGTGGAAAAAGGTTTTGCACTAGTTGCAACATGTAGACAAACTACAAAGTGTATTGTTTTGTATCATTAATACTGTTCTTTTCCTGTTCATCACCGTGAAGCTGCTTTGAAACAGTCTGTATTGTATAAACAGTGCTGGGTAATAACTGATTACATGTAATCTGGATTACAGTTACTTTTTATGGATTACATGATTACATAGGATTTATAAATTGGCAGTAAATTGTTCCTTTTAAAATCTCCTTTCTAAAACCCCTACTGTGTCTCATACCATTTAGCTTTGACTATATTCACAATATCGAATAGCCATGTAAATGTTGTGTAAATAAATTTGCAATACAATTTAGACCATGTATGAAACAAATAATTATGCAAGTTACTAAACACTTGTGATGTATAGCTGTGAAACACGATGTCATTATCATGTCCAGTGACTCGGATTTAATTAATTATTAAATATTAAGCCCAGCTTGAGAAACCCTGGTTTTATGTAATGTTTAACAAAGTAAAAAAAAATATTTTCTTGCTTTGTATTTTTGTCTTGTTTTCTAATATAAATATCTAAACATGCTTGAATCAAGATGCATTTACTTGACAAGTAAAATTACCTCTTGTTTTCTGGAAAAAAAAAAAAATATATATATTGTTACCTTTTGCTTAAAACAAGCAATAATATCTGCCAATGGGGCAAGAAAAATAATCTTGTTTAGCTTTTGAATTAAGATTATTCTTCTTACCCCACTGGCAGATATTTTTGCTTGTTTTAAGCAAATATTAAAACAAAAATGATAATTTTTTTCAGAAAACAAGACATAATATCTTTGACAAGTAAATGCATCTTGATTCAAGAATGTTTTATACTAGAAAGACAAAAATACTAAGCAAGAAAATCTTATTTTTTCTTTTTTTATCTTCAGTTGCTCTGAACTTACTGTTGACTAATAAAGTCTGTCTTAGAGCCAGGATTTACCCTTCAACATGATGTGTGCACCAAACTGCTAAAAATAACATTTTTCAACATTTGAAGCAGAATAAGCAGAATAACAACACAACAATCTTCTGAGTTGAACTTGTTTCATAATGAATGCACTTGACTGAGAAACTTGAATGAGAAAATAATTTATGCCCAAATTAACACAAATCAGCATTGATGATGGTCATGTTTAAAATTGGGTTACTCACCCGATATAATGGTCAGATTCACTTCAGTGCAGAAATCTATTCCTGATTTATCAACTCCACACGACCCAGAATCCCGTTTTCTCAGCTCTCCGATGGTCACACTGAAAACTGCTGTTCTTTTGTTGTCATTCAGAGAGAATCTTCCAACCTCAGCCCATTCATATTCAGTATTAGTCTTGTATGTGCTCTCTGACCACAGTACTTTACAAAAATACTTTTCTTTTGCTTTGTCATTGCTATCATATGTGCATGTCATGTTGACTTTATGCCCTGAATTTCCAGCCAAACCGACTGAGGTCATGGTACCTACAAAACAAAGTGACTTAACACATTTCTCATGAAGTTTAAATGAGATCAACATTCAAGATTCTCACCAGGAATCATCAGCAGAGTGAAAGTCCAGACGATCTTCATTCTTGTCTCTTATTCAGTGATCTTCTCTGTTGTTAGTAGATTCAGTTCTTCTGAAGCTCTCGATGTGTGTTTC